AGAGGAATAGATCTGTGGAGCAAAAACAAGTTTTGTCTGTCTGTTTGTTTGTTTGTTTGTTTGGGGGGTGCATACAAAAAAACCCTGAATGGGCAGAACTGTTTTCTATACAGAAAATACATTGCACAAAAGCCATGTGTTTTAAACAGGTAAGGGTTTGCCTTGATATTAAGTCTAGTTGTGTCTGACTCCGGGAGGTGGTGCTCATCTCAATTTCTAAGCCGAACAGCAGGCAATGTCAGTAGGCGCCTTCAAGGTCATGTGGCCGGCATGACTGCATGGAGTGCCATTACCTTCCGACTGGAGCGATATCTAGCAATCTACTCACATTTGCATGTTTTCGAGCTGCTAGGTTGGCAGAAGCTGGGCCTAACAATGGGAGCTCACCCCACTCCCTGGATTCGAACCTTTCTGTCAGCAAGTTCAGCAGCTCCTCTGTTTAAACCACTGTGCCCCCAGAGGCTTTAAACAACCCTGTTAAAGGCAAAACACTGAGCATTTGTTTTGCCTTTGGAGAGGGTTTTGCTCTCTCAGAGCAGGAGATGATAATGTAAACATCCAAGCACTGGAAGTTGTCCAAGCCTCTTATGGAACCAAGAGAAATAAGCCCAGTAGCAATGAGCAGATTTTCCAAGAATTTTCTTCAGATGTTAAGAGGAATATCCAAAGAACAATAGAGGGAGACAAAAGACCTGGACAGTATGATCCAAAGTGTGCCATTTTAAGATGGGGTGTGGGGAGTTTGTGCCAATTTAATTTCATTAGGCTGTGCATGGAGTAAAAAAAATTTCAGGTAGCAGAAGAGCTCCTGGGACAAATAAATAACAACTGCTCTTCATTCATATATACATATATTTTAAAATAAATATCTGCATCTTTTCCCTCCACTGCAGGAAGACCATCTGGGGTTACTTTTGAGTGGAAAAACAACAAGAGCAAAAATAGTCAAGCAGTATTTCATTCTAATCACCATTCTTCAACTTAAACATATAGTCTCGCAATACAAGACTGATATGTGCTCTTAAAGAGATATTGAAGTTACATGTGGCATGGCTATGGCTTTTGTGTTTGGTTTTGGCCCTTACCTTAGCTACTAAATTAGCTCAAGAAATAGTCAAGAGTTGTGCCTGTGTATATTCACACCTAAATCCTCTCTGTTTTTGCTTAATCTAATGCAGGTACAGTTAATACTTTCTCAGCTCCAGGGTGTTTTACAGGTTGTGATTGCTTCCCTGGGGTTTTCGGCATTTCTTTTTCTCACGCATACTGTTGTGCAAACAGAATCCCAAATTGGTTTTATTAATGCAGTGTCCTTTGAAAGTATTTCTTGGCTTCTTGACCTAGAATGAAATTAAACTATTTTTAGCTTTCAGGCCACTCTGACTGCTGAAGCAAAACTGATTCAAGGTAGAGCTGTTATGGACTCATCGCATACGTGAAACAAGTAACATCCCTGGGAAATTAGCTAGCAGAAACCACTTGTAGAGTACTAATGTGACTGACTTCTAGCGGAAACCACTTGTAGGGTACTGATGTGACCCTTTCTGGACTTTACTAGACAATTTAAAAGGGAAGGGATACAAAGCAGATGGTAGAGTGGCCTTCCATTGTTATTCATCCATCCATTCACACACACACATCCTCTATTTCTCTCCCTCTTGCACACACATACACATAACTATTTGCAATGGAATAATAATGTGTTGCTGTTCACAATATTTAAATTATTAAACAAAAATGGAAAACATATCATTAGTCCCTGGTTGTAACTCCCTTTACACTGGAACTTCCAGGATTCAGAACACACAAGAGATATAAAACAGAACTCTTATATATTGTAAGATGTTTGGAACAGTTTGTTGGATATCCTTAAAACACAGTTCCTCATACTCTCGTCTTACATGCAGATCTTTATCAAGTGAAAGTCAAAAGCAGGTGGGTAAAGTTTGTTTTAGATGCACTACCCACTCATCTGGAGACCTATTTCATCCATCTTACGACTTCATCAGACAGGCTAAAATTCAGTGGCATATGGTGGTTCCTCTTTAGTTTTGCTACGGAGCCCACCAGCACCCATCCCACTACGTACATCAACTTTTGGCAGGGCTCCGTGGCAAAATTGAAGTGGAATCGACATACATCACTGCTGTGTCAACACAGGAGGCTTCTCATGTTGCACAGAATTCAACTACTAGAGGAAGCCAAGTAGCAGATGCTTCCCCTGCCAGATTAGCCACAATCCATGGCGATTCTAGCAGCAAATGTGATGAGGTCCATAGACTTTCTACAGATCACTCAGAGATGGAGCTACAAGAGGCAAACTGAGGCATTTGTTCCCTGGAAGAGGTTATGCCCCTTTCTTTGCTCCTCTTCTTTGTTCCTCAAAATTCAAGCATTGCAGTGACTTGAACTTAAAACTACAAATTTAGAAAATTGGTTTCGGCACCAAAGAAAAGGAACAGGCAACGTGGGCAAGGGAATGCAAAGGCAGAAAATAAGAGACTCCTATATATGAACCATTTTAATGTCTTACTCTCTGCAATGGCAGAAAATTGGGAAATAAAGCAAGAGCTCTTTTGCCTCCTCCCCATTTGTTATACCTTTCTTGGCACTGTCTCCAAGGAGGGTCTTTAAAAAATAAATAAATAAAAAGAAATAACTTGTATACTATCCAAAATGAGAGAAGCAATAGTAATGATCTATTCTGCTTTGGTCAGACATCACCTGGAATACTGTGTCCAGTTGTGGACACCACAATTCAAGAAGGATATTGACCAGCTGGGTTCAGAGAAGGGCAAGCAAATGGTAAAAGGTCTGAGCATGTGACCATCCCTCAGAGAACATCACTTTGGGGAGATCATAGTGGTAGGTGAAACTGGTTGAATTTTAAGAAGATGCCCATGTGTGGATACATGCTTACCATTGTATCAGTATTAGCATACCCTACTTAGCAGAAAACATGTATGTTTGCATAACAACAAAAAATGCGGAGCAGCCATGACCCTGTTGCCATAAATAATGTGAAGGATTGGATGTATAGACTGCCCTCTAGCAATGAGGTGAGTCTACCAGGGGGGAAATGTGTGGCCATTTGTGGCAATCTCATTACAATATGTGTGATGTGTGTGGCTTTGATGGGCTCAATGTGGATCAGGAAAATGTGGTTCTGGTCAGATTATTTTTCATCCATGAAGACAAGCCCAAAGACATGGGCTTGCAGAGTTTTTATCATGCCACTCCATGGCATGGTTGGGTTCTTGAAATGTTCTACATAATTTCAAGTTCTTGCATTATTATTATTTATTTATTATTTATTTACTTTATTTATATACCGCTTTTCTCAGCCCTCGGGCGACTCAAAGCAGTGAACAACATCGATACAAAACATCATGAGACAAGTATAAGGCAATTAAAAACAATTGTAACATAAATCATTAAACATCCGTATAACAATAATTAGTGCCTCAAAAGTAAAATCAGAATCCAGTCTCATCATCCATTATTCCGCATTACATCAGCCACTCCCACTGTTTTAGCTGGATGGCATGGTGGCAGTCCTCAGTTGGGGAAGTGTGCAGCATCTAAATATCTCAGTATAATTTTTAAAAACATCCTCCTCCCTCGTTTTTTTTTTTTCTTTTCTTAAAAGCAAGCTGAACAGAATCAGAAATGGCTCTTGCCAGAGCATCCAGCTATCAAGGAGAATAGCTGCTGGGTACAGCCTGCTGTTCGGCTTGACAAGCTGCCATCCTTTCCACACCAAACGAAACCAAGCATGAATCTAGAGCCAGGGAATTATTATGGGCCTCCTGGGATACTGCTTGTCAACTTCTCTCCCTTGCCCATGCATGCAACAGCTTTGAGCTGATACTGTTACAGAGGGAAGAGGGACATGCAGGCAACCCAAAGGTCAGCACCAGCAATCTTCAAAATGTCAGCATAAAACCCAGGTGACCTTTCCAGGTCACTGATCACATAGGCCCTGTACTCCTGTGCAACAGTCTTCATCTGCCTCTTTTCGCTCTTGTGATCACAGACAGCAGTAAATTGGACTGTAAGACCTACTCAACTGAAAGAGCCCTCCCTTCCTATATTTTGTTGTTGTGTGCCTTCAAGCTATTTTGAGACTTATTTATTATTTATTTATTTATTTTGGGCTTTTATATCCCGTCCTATCTCAACCGCCACAGAGGGACTCAGGACGCCTAACAAATCGGCACCCCATGGCGCCCACATCAAAAACATAGATACACATTTTAACGGCAATATAATAATAATATAAAACAGTATGAACAGCATAAAACAATATAAAACAGTATAAAAACAGTATAAAAACAATCAATCAATCAGTCAGCGGTCACCGGTTTAAATCATCATCCAAGGGCAGTCCATCAGTTCTATATAAGTCAACATGTCAGCAAATTAGCCTAATCTACAGAGGCCTGATCCCATAGCCAGGATTTTAGTTGTTTTTGGAAGGTCAAGGGGATGCAGCGGATCCAATTTCACTCAGGAGGGAGTTCCATAGCCAGGGGGCCACCACAGAAATGGCCCTGTCTCTTGTCCCCACCAAACGCAATTGTGACAATGGGGGAACAGGGAGCAGGGTCTCCCCAGATGATCTTAGGGCCCTAGGTGGATTGTAGCGGGAGATACGTTCGGATAAGTAAACGGTTAGAACTGTTCAGGGCTTTATAGGCCAAAGCCAGCACTTTGAATTGTGCTTGGAAGCTGATAGGCAGCCAGTGGAGCTGGCATAACAAGGGCATTGTGGGCTCTCTGTACCCAGTCCCAGTGAGCAACCTGTCTGCAGTTTCTCAAGTTGCTCCTGACAGGATAATAATAAAAAATAATAATAAATACCCTTTGCAAGGAAAGGCATTACATAAGGTAGCTTAGGCATGCTTTCTGCATCTCTTTTGAGCACACCCTGGACATTGTGTTCGATGGGAGATGCACAGTGTTTTCTCCTTTTTTCATTTTTCTTCTTCCCTCAACAGTGTTCCTATATACCCAAGTGTGGCAAGAACTTTGAAGAGTCCCTGTCCCTTGTGAATGTCGTTATGGAAAACTTCAAGAAGTATCAGCACTTTTCCTGCTTTTATGACCCAGAAGGCACTCAAAAGAATGTATTGCTAACAAAACTTTACAGTTCCAATGTGGTGTTCCACTCACTTTTTTGGCCAACGTGTATGATGATCGGAGGACTAGCAATTGTTGCCATGGTCAAGTTGACCCAGTACCTATCCCTTCTCTGTGAGAGGATCCAGCGGATCAACAGATAGAAGTTATCAGCTCACTTCCAGGATTGATTGACAGCTGAAATACTGTTTCTTTCTTTTTTTTTCATTCTTCACCAAAGAACCTTAAGTTTGTAATGTCTACGTCTGTTCTAAGTTCCTTATATTTTTATGAAGTAGAGCAATAACGAAAAAGGCTGTTCTATATGCAAACGTGATGCTTTTATTATGCAGATGATGAGAAAAGGAATTACCGTTTGCGTTGGCCATTTACATGATCTTGATTTATGCTGCAACTGAGTACTTCTTTTCTTCTTCTTTTTTTTTTCTACAGCCAAAATAGGGCTCAGTGTAAAACCATTTGCCAAGCTTTGTCTTTGAATGCATCAACATTTCAGCACAAATCCAATTTGGAGGGATGTATTACATTGCTACATGTGTTCACGTGAACCATTGAAAGTTCCACTTAAGCCAGGAGATAAGGGATGGATGCAAGGGATGCAGAATGGAAGGAAGTTTGAAAAAAAGATAAAAGCAGAACCCTGGCCAACTGAAGTGGAACTAAAATGGATGCCTTCATCCAGATATTTCTTGCCTGTGTGGGACTCCCAGCTACCTTCTCCACTGAGGTCAAAGGTCTCACACAAGTGCAGGACGTATCACTGCACACTCAAGCGCCACTCCAGAGAACATTGTCAGGCTAACATCCCATTGAAATCTATAGAACCTTTTAGCCAAGGCTGATTCCAATGGGATGCTAGTACAATTTACTGTATATGCTCATGTATAAGTCTACAGATTGTAGTCAAACAAATTAACCACAAAAACCCAGGTCGACTTATCCACAGGTCAATGTAAGTACTGTAACTTAACACACACACACCCTTTTCTGAGTAGAGTGATGTAAGGTGAGAGCTTGGTCAACTCTGTGAGAACCTAAAAGCAGCACTGAGCCCTTCTACTCACTCCACCATGGCACCGCTTCTGAACTTTTTGAGTGCATGGGTGGGAAAATTGCTGTGGTTTACAGTGGTGGCTGAGGTGCCATTGGTTCTTTCCCCTCTCTGTGGAATGACCCTCAACATATCCAAAAATTATATCGAATCTATAACCTGCCCTTGAATTTTACATGAGGTCAACTTATACATGAGTATATGTGGCAATTGTTTTATGGAGTTGGGGAAAGCTCCAGAGTTCTGGACCGGGGCAATAATCTACAAGTCTTCATGCTCAGGGTTAAAATTTTGTTTCTGGTGTTTTAGATATCTAGCAAAACATTGCTTTGCAATATCTTCTTTCTTCACAAATCATTATTTACCAAAGCTACAGCCAAAAAAAAAACCCTACCAACAAACACACCAACCCTCATTCCACAAATCTATACATTTTGTCATTTCATTTTCTACTCCAGCCTGAGCCCTGTTGGCAGAGATGGGACCAGATAACACCTTGTGTGCAAGTCTATTACGTGCATTTTTCTTGTATTTGCTACCATATCACTGTAAAGAACTAAACAAAAAACAAAAATCCATAGTCAGCTATTTTTTCATTTTTTACTTCCAACTCTTTTAGATTTTTTACTGGGTATTTTAAAAAAAGAACACTAGACGAGAAGACAAAAAAAAGTATATTCTATTCAGTGGTGTATTGTAATATGAATATGTTATATTTTATTATTTCTTTTATTGACTGGAATGTGAGCAGTGCACTTCTTGTATATTCCCCGTGTCTGGTTAAAATCATAATGAAGGGAAATCGTGCCAGGGAGCTGGGAAAGGCTTAGATGCCATTTTTGTAGTGGCATTTTAGTTCAAATAAGCATAGCTGGAACTTAGTATGGAAAGGGCATTCTCTAGTTTGAGATCACAATTAAGATATAGTTTACCTGTTTGAGTGTTGGGCAACTCTGGAGACCAGGGATCAAATCCTCACTTGGTCATGTAAACCGAATGGGTGACCCTGGGCTGATCAGACACACTCAGCCATAGAACAACCTGTGATAGGGTTGCCATAGGTTGGAAATTGACTTGAAGGCACAGAACAACAAATGATAATATTGTATTGTCAGAGGCTTTCATGGCCGGAATCACTGGGTTGTTGTAGGGTTTTTTTGGGCTATATGGCCAAGTTCTAAAGGCATTCTCTCCCGACGTTTCGCCTGCGTCTATGGCAACCATCCTCAGATGCATTTTATTTGAGAACACAGAAATGCTGGACCACTTTCACAACCACCATGTCAGACTACACAGACTATACAGAGAAGCCATTGAAATACAGAAGCATGTGGGCAATTTCAACAGAAAGGAGGAAACCATGAAAATGAACAAAATCTGGCTACCAGTATTAAAAAAACTCTAAAATTACAACAGAGCAACAACAGAGAGGAAACAAACAAGGACATCTAATCACCTCTCAACAAAAATTTGCTCCAGGCACTGTCAGGCCATTATATGCTAATCAAGGTAATCAGTTGAAACATTCACACCTAGCTCCAGCAGACAACAGTCCTTTGTCCCACCCTGGTCATTCCACAGATATATAAACCCTTTCTCCTAGTTCCAACAGACCTCACTACCTCTGAGGATGCTTGCCATAGATGCAGGCAAAACATCAGGAGAGAATGCCTTTAGAACATGGCCATATAGCCCGAAAAAACCTACAACAACCCAAATGATAATATTAATCCTAGAGAGGATTTTTACAAGAAACAGTGCAGCCTTACTCCCAAAATGATAAGAGATTAAGACATACAGAATTTAGATGTGTTGCTCCATGCACTGAAGGTCATGAGGTCAAATGGAAGAACTAGGAACATGCATATGTTCAGTGATACTGTGAGCCCTCCGTTGCCACCACGGCATCACTAGAAGGTCTTAAGTGGCTGTCCAAAATAGAACATTCCCATTTCTTTCCAAGCCTCATGTGCTTCTTGCTGCTCAGCAACAGCAGAGCACAAACAAGAGATGGAAATCCATGTGGGTAGAGAGACTGGGAATGTATTGTCAAAGGCTTTCATGGCCAGAATCACTGGGTTGTTGTAGGTTTTTTTCAGGCTATATGGCCATGGTCTAGAGACATTCTCTCCTGATGTTTCGCCTGCATCTATGGCAAGCATCCTCAGAAGTAGTACCCTACAACCTCTGAGGATGCTTGCCATAGATGCAGGAGAAACGTCAGGAGAGAATGCCTCTAGACCATGGCCATATAGCCCGAAAAAACCTACAACAACCCAGACTGGGAATGATCACACAACAGGCAAATCACTGAAAATACTGTAGAAAGTACAGGGTTAGGATGAGTTTCTATAAAGTGTTCGTAAGTGAAATCTCATCAGGAATAAGAAGAGAGATAGGATGAGAAGCATAAAGCAAAAAAAGGATGAGGGTATCAGTAAGAGGGAAAGAAGGGAAGAACAAGTAAGGGGGAACAGAGTTTTGGGTTTACAATACAGATGGGAAATATATGGGACACCCTTTTGGTGCCCATCCAATTTGCCATAAAGTTCAATGAGATAGATGCAGAGAGACAAAAAGAATTATCGTATCTCCTGCTCCCATCCTCTACATAATTACAAATAGTATTCTCAACTTTGTTTGATTATAATTACAAAGACAATCCTAATGCTAAATTTTGCGCAGAAGGCAAAATGTGAAGAACGTGATGATCACCCGCCTTGAATTAATGTGAGATTTTTTTAAAGAAATGTTTTAAAGGAAACAAAGGCTACTTTTTTTGCCAAAAGGAGAAGACATTTTTGATCTGTCTAGCTCATCTGTGATCTGAGTACTTCTTTACTCCCTGAAATGTAATGTTGGGGAGGGGGGGAACAATGTTATGGTGTTGCAAGATTTCATGAACTGTGCAAGTGTCGTCTGAACTGTACAAATGAAGTCTGCAGCAGTGAAATTAATCTTTGATCTTGTAATCCATAATGCAACTTCTTTTCTCAGGCAAATAAGTTCCTGGGGCGTGTAATCAGGACTTCGAAACTGTGTGATTTGGTACAAAAATTATTCAATTAAACCTTTCAGATTTCAATATGCCTGGCAGTCAGAATTTTCTTTTTTAAAATAAGAAAATAACATTTGATTGGATTCATCTTCAGTATTCTTTCCAGTTTTAAAGGGAAAATGGTGCTCAAATCTATTCTTTCATTAGTTTTGCCTCTTTCTTTACCGTTTCACCTACCTAAGAAACTGGGGGTCATGGAGGTTATTCTACCTTGGAGCTGCCAATCATAAATCTCTGCAGGTGGTGATACAGAACTGAATGTGCTACGCAGCTCTAGTGTGGAATGACAGCATTGTACAACCAAATATATACATAAGTTTGCAGTCAATATATACCCAAACATTGAGTCCTATTACTCCCAGCTGCTACAGTGATGGTAACAACAGGACAGGTAAGAGTGACAATTCAGCTGAACCAAATGGGTTTTGGTCCAACTTGACCGCCTGGGCTCTGCCACCACAGCTGTCGTGGATCAGGACAGATTAATGCCACATGATATGTTTACATAGAAATTTGGTAGAGCTGGGCCAAAACTAACAACATGAATTTCAGCAGGGAGGAATATAGAGTACTACACTCAGGCAGAAAAAAATGAAATGGGTCTATATCAGGCATGGGCCAACTTCAGCCCTCCAAACATTTTGGATTTCAGCTCCTACAATTATGGGAGTTGAAGTCCAATACACCTGGAGAGCCAAAGTTTGTCCGTGCCTGGTATAGAGGATGGGTGGCATCTGGCTTGACAACGGTACATGTGAAAGGAATCCAGGAGTCTTAGTAGGCCTCATGGTCTCTTTCAACTCTACAATTCTATAAATCTAATCCATCACTTCTTAAGCTGTGGATAGCAACCCCATTTGGGTTCCCCTAACTGAATTTGTAGGATGCAAAAAATGTGTGTAACATACCATCTAGTGGCTGTTGTAAACGTTTACATGAATCTGTTAGCAACTACATGCAACAAATGTTTCAACTGCTACTTGAGGCCGCAAACCAAGCATGCTAGCATGGAATGAAAAATGTTGAAGATGTTCTACATCCTGCAGCATCAAATATTCAGGCAAGATTTAATCCTTTTTGCAAAAGTAAAGAAGCACATCCTTTTCGTTAGTTTGTAAATTTCCTTTAATATTTAATAAATGGTAAAATTGTAAGTATATCCAAAGAATTGTTTCAAAATATATTTTTATGATTTATTATTAGTAAATGTTAGATTTTGTATACCTATTATATAGTAGTAGTAGTAGTAGTAGTAGTAGTAGTAGTATATACCTATATACCCAGAATTGCATAAATTTTTCTTAGCCAAAAACAGGTCACGAGTGGAAAGGTTTATGAAACCCTGATCTCATCAACTATCGTATCTCATAGATGTTGCAGAAGTTCCCTGCCCTCAGAAGAAACTGCTTGTTGCATCTCTGAGTTGCTCCTTTCTATCTAACTACATAATTCCCCAGTGAGCAAAGCCAATGGGATTGGCTTTCCCACCAGCACCACCCCAAAATGGCTCTCAAATAGAGTTAGACAAATGTATAGAGCAGATGTTTACCAACAAGTTCATTAAGTCATGATAGCTTAATAGACCACCCATCATTGGGCACAGTATAAATAATACTTCTTGTCATTGTAAGTCAGCTTCTAGACAAGAAATGAGTGGGGGGAAGCAGTGCTGATAGAGGTGTACAAAGTTATGCATGATCTGGAGAAAGAAAATAGTTCTGTCCTAATAATAGAACCCGAAATCATCTCTTGAAGCTGAACAACAGGAAGCATCAAGCGTTTTTGACATAGTACATAAACAGTCCACTTAGAGTGCTATAAACCAAAGTTTGACAAACTGATGGAAGATAAGGCTAGCAGTGGCAGTGGTTACTACTTGCTGTCACCAGAATCTAAAGAAATATGCTTCTGAATGTGAGTGATGAGAAACAACAGTAGTGTTAGAATTGCTATCTACATTTCATGTATCTCATCTTTCCAAATGTATCTGGATTAGAATGTTGGATTAGAGCAAAGCTTGAAACAATCCTGCTCAATAGCAATTACTTATATTATTCACTTATGGTTGGCAAAACCATGATTTGTTGCATTTCTCATTCCTGTCAATCCCCCAGGAATGATTTTCTTTTCATGTCAGTTGCTCATTCCCTTTTTCATTTTTCCATCTGCAGGAATATTTCCTCTTGGAAGCATCTACATTTTCACTCCTATACAAAGTGTTTGGGTGTGGGTTTTAATCTGGTTCTTTTTGCCTCGTCATTTCCACTCTATCTATTGATACTAGAGGGTGGTATTATGCTACATGACACAACATAAAATGTTGTCAGCCATGCTTTCTCCAGTGTAATGTTACATTGCATGGTATTGTAAGGAAGAACACATGAACTTGGAGAATCAACAACAGTTTGCATTTGCCTAAGCCTACTGAGGGCACAGTTCTGTCTTCTTCCTCACTTCTCCCTGTTGAGTTAGCTGAGTGCAAACTCAGACTTTTGCATTTTGAACTCAGTTTGTAC